TGTTTGACTAAAATGTGACATACTTGCAACACAAAGTCTTTTAATGAGAGCCGATAAGGAAAGCAGTTAAGCTAAACTGTGAGATTAATGGCGGTTGATAAAGATAAGCATTCCATAAACAGATGTTCCACAGAGATTTGAGTTGAAACTGGAAACCAAAGCCTAATTTGCACACTTTGTCAGATTATGTTAGATGGTTACAATGGATGTTTATTATGTTCATGGTTATTCATTTCAAATCTAATTCACTAGAAGAAAATCGGATTATTGTTTGGCTAAATGCTGTAAAGGCCAACTTGGATAAGAGCATTTACTTTTATATATCTACAGTATATATATATATATATATATATATATATATATATAAACTGTAAATAAACTGTCTACAGTAATAACAATCTGATGAAAATTAGAAAAATAATATATTTATTAATGCTGTCAAAATTAGCGTGTTAATGCAAGCGATACATTTTTCCAGTTTAACGCCGTTAAAAATATTTAACGCAGTTAACACAGGGGCGGGGCTAGGGTTGGCCACCCCACTCACAACTGCTGCTTTTGTCTTTTTATTCTCGACAAGAATTGCGTTTATTTAAACGCAGAACGTCTTTATGACCACATCAAACAGGAGACTTTTCAGACGCGCACTCCACAGAAAACAGTCAAACGACAGTCAACCGAGCGCGGAAACGGTACAGGTGACAAAGAGCTTCAGTAGAATGAAAGTGAACTGCGGTCAGATGAGATGTTGTCAGGCCATGTCAGTAAACATGAATTTTCCTGTCCTGTCAACCACTACACTGTGCTCGTAGCACGTGGTCTTTAATCGCATACACAAATACGGCGGCGCGCACTGTAGTCTGTTCATATTAAAGTGCGAATGAAACTGCGAGCATGTGTTTCAGATCCACGTCACGTACAGCAGCGGCAGCTTTTAAAGTAATAGCAGTCAAATAACCTAATAACCCAGCTGCTGTGATGTCTGTTAATCAAAGAACAAAAGAAAAAAAAGGAAATCAATAACTTTTGTAGCTTTAATGATTCATTTATATTTAATTTAGAATTAAGTGTTAATAACTTGCTGAAAGGCACAGGTAAATATGACATTTATTATAATGGGTTTATGTGAAGATTGTTTTAAGTTAAAATTAGAAGTCTAATAAATGTTAAAATTGATAGCTCTCAATTTTAATGTAATGTTGAATGGCTATAGTCAATGGTTAAATATTAGGAAAAAAAGAACAATTTCCTAGAGACATCAGTAGTTATTGGTATCAGTCATACTCGCCTTCAGTCATAAAAAAGATGCCACTAAACAAGTTTTAAAAATATACTGTCTTTATGTTGTTTCTACATTAATTTGGAGATTGAATGTGAAATTATTGCAACATAAAAGTATATTTAAAAACGTAAAGTTAGGTGGGATTAATCATGATTAATTTCAGAAAAAATGCGCAATTAATTAGTTAATTTATTTTAATCAATTGACAGCACTAATATTTATATAATACATACATACATACATACATACACACACACACACACACACACACATATATATACCAATCAGCGACCGCGGGAAACCCGTTTCGGCAACCAGACAAGGAAGGGAACCCCGCACACAATGCAAGTACCTCCAGATTCTAGCTGAACTGGTGCATTTAATATAAATTTTAACCT